TACACACACTCTCTCTCTCTCTCTCTCCATTTTCTATCTCTCCATGATAAAACTTCAAAATTTTAACATCTCTTTTATAATAAATCAAATTTCAATTCATGCATGGATCTTCTGTACTATATGTGTGTGTTTCACCATTATTCATTAGCCTAAATACTGTCGCTTTATAATAAGCTTTGATGTCTAGTAGGCACACCCTTTATATTGCTGTTGTTCTTCAAAGTTATTGTAGATATTTTGGTCCTTTACTTTCCACAGAAATTTTGTAATTAACTTGTGAAGTTACAGAGAGAAACAAAGCAAAACAAAACAAAAAACTTACTGGTTAGATCTGAATTATGTAAATTCATAGATTAGCTGGGAAGATCTGATAAATTGATGATATTGAGCCATCTTTTTCACAGACTTGGCATTGTCACTGCATTTATTTAGGCCTTCTTTTATGTGATACAATAAAGCCTTATTATTTCTAGTGTAGTATTTCTGGGCATTTTTGTTAAATTAGCTACTAAGCACTGTATAGTTTCCTTTCTATATGAAGAAAACTATAAATGTTATTTAAGAACATGAAAGACAGGTTTGAATAATTGTAGAGTGAGAGAACTTTTCTTGATGGAAATATATACCATAATGATTATAATATAATTTTAATAAATTACAATTAGATTATTGAAGTTTTTGGAATTAAAAATTAATTTTTATAGTAAATCATCTTGAAATATTTTCTAATTTTATTTGGGGTTTCTTCTTTGACTCACAAATTATTTAGAAGTATGGGATTTAATTCCCAAATATTTGAGGGGTTTCCAGATATTTGTTTGTTTATTATTGATTACTAATTTAAACCTGTTGTGGTCAGAGAACAAAATCTGTGTGATTTTAATGCTTTAAATTTATTGAAACTGGTTTATGGCCCAGTAGATGTTGAATCTCATTGGCTGTTTCATATACAGTGGAAGATAATGTACATTCCATAGTTGCCTGGATGTGGTGTTCTGTAAACATAAATGGGACCAGGTTTGCTGGCAATGTTGTCTTTGATATCCTTATTTATTTTATCTTTACTTATTCTATTGAATATTAAGGTGAGTGTTTTAATTATCAACTCTTAATTATGTATTTATTTATTTCTTCTTTCATTTCTGTCTGTTTTTACTTCACTGTAAAGCTTTGTGATTAGATGTAAAGCTATTTAGCATTGTTAGGTTTTCTTGATTGACTTCCTTTACCATTTTGAGATGTCCCTCCTTTTTCGTAGTGATATTCCTTATCCTAGTATCTATTTTGTGTAATATTAATATAGTCACCCAAATCTTTTATCATTATATCTTTGTGATATATATATTTTTATCCATCTTTTAACCTGTGTCTTTATAATTAAATTGAGTTTCTTATAGACAAATATAGTTTGGTCTTGCTTTTTAAAAATCTAGTCAACATTCCTAAACTACATTTGTGTGTTTAGTCCATTGATAGTTTATGATTATGAATATGTTTTGATTTAAGTCTGCCATCTTATTATATGTTTTCTGTTTGTCCTGTTTGATCGCTGTTTCCATTGTTTTCTTTTTTCTGCTTTATTTTGGATTAAATGAATTTTTAATTAGTATTTCATTTTATCTCTTTTTTGATTTATAATCTATATCTGTGCCTTTTATTTGTTGCTTTAGGCAGTTTGTCATATAAATTTTTAATTTATTACAGCCTGCCATGAATTAATATTGTGCCACTTCATGTATAATGTAAGAAGCTTACAACAGTAGATTTCTATTTTCCACCCTCTTGTCCTTTGTGCTTTATTGTCACAGGTTTTACTTCAGCGTATATTATAAACTCTAGAGTATTTTGCTTTTACAGCAATTATCTTTTAAATAAATTAAAGAAGAGAAACATTATTTTATATTTATGAACATAATATATTCTTGCCAGTGCTTTTCATTCCTTTGTGTAGATCTGAGATTCCATCTGGCATCATTTTCCTTCTACCTGAGGTACTTCCTTTAACATTTCTATTAAGGCTGGTATGCTTTCGGTGACTTCTTTCAGGTTTTGTTCACCTGAAAATCTTTACCTTTAGTTTTCTAAAAGGGTGTATTGTTGCTGGATGTAGAATTCTAGGTTGATTTTCCAACCCCACTCTAAGCACTTTAAAGATGCTCCATTGTTCTTTGGTTTGAGTTGTTCTGATGGGAAGCCAGACAGAAAACATCATTTTTCCCCCTGTATTAAATGTATCTTTTATTTCTGTATGCTTTTAAGATTTCTCTTTAAAATTGGTTTTTGGCAATTTGTTTTAGTTTTTCTTTGTGTTTATTTCATTGAATTCACCAATATTCTTGAATATATTAGTTTATATTTTTCATCCAGTATGGCAAAAAAATTAGTAAATTTTTTTCAAAAAAATTTTTTTGCCTCGCTCTTCTGGGAATCTAGTTACTTATATTTTAGATTGCCCGATACCATCCCACACTGAGAGAGACTCTGCTTATTTTCCTCTACTCTGGCTGGATAGCACTCACATGTCTTTCACTTGCGCATGAGGTGTGGTTGTTATTTAGTTTTGTATTCATAGCATTTATTCTCTCCCTGGTAGTTGATCTTTGACTGGTCTTGTAGAATGTCACTTTGCATAGGCACAGCTTAGCAATCAGCTAAAGATTCAAGATGACATGTATGCAGATTTTTGAAACCCTTTTTCCCTCAGAACTCCCTTCTTTTTGGTACTCTGCTCCACAACTTGTAACCATCTTGGCCTTCTGAACGCTTATGTCTGTCTCCTAAAACTTAATGAGACCACTCTATTCTGCTTGAGATCTTTCTCCCTCAATCATGGTCTGGAAGTGCCCTCAGGTAGAAATCTGGGATTATTGCAGGGCTTTTCTCATTTTTGCTCTTATCTCAAAGATCACAGGCATGCTCTTCCTTCTTTCCAGTGTCTTAGAACAGGCATTTCCTATAATTTGTCCAGATTCCTAGTTGTTCATGGCACTATTCAAAGTGCTGGGATTACAGACATGAACCACCACACCTGGTCAATTTACTAATTTTGTTTACTAATTTGTTTACTAATTTTTGTTTACCTTTATTCCTAATAGGCATTTAAGACTAAATGCTTTGGCACTGCTTTAGCTGCATTTTACTTTAATATGTTTTTAATATGTAGTATACTTGTAATAGTTTAGTTTTGAATATTTTCTACTTTTCAGAGGTATTTAGGAAGTTTTGTTATTTTGAATGTTCAAATCAATGAGGTTTTGTATTGTCTTTTTATTCTTGATTTCTAATTTATTTGCATTTGGGCCAGAAAATACGACCTATACGATAGTATCCTTTGTTGTTTCTTGATCTTTTTTATGGTTTAGAATGGCTTAGCTGTTTTTTGTGCTCTTAAATTTCACCATGATGTTTCTAAGCATGGTTTTATTTTAATTTATCCGTATTGGGTCACATTTTCCATTCTGGAAAATTTAAAATGATCTCCTTACTGCCCATCTCCCCTTGCCATTATGTCCATCTGGAACCCCTCTTAGATGTATATTGTGCCTTCCCATTTAGTCCTTCATGTCTCATAACCTCTTGTTTCATATTTTCCATCCTATTTTCTCTTACGGTATGCTAAGTTTCCTCATAGCTCTATCTCATTTACTAATACCCTCATCTGGTGTTTCTAATACATTGTTCAACCCATCTTTTAAAAATTAATTTCATTGGATATATCTATTTATATAATTTCAGATTCATCTTTTTCCACATTTATTTGAAGTTCCTGGGGGTTTCATACTGCTGAGGTATGATGGATTTTTTGGGACTGATAGATTATTTCCTTATGTATTTTCTGAATTTGAATGGTAGGCTCATCTTCAACAGTGCCTTATCTGTGGAAAATCTGTGGAATCTGTCTTTAGAGAGTATCTCTCCAGAAAAGGTTTATCTTTGCTTTTTCTGGAACCCCAAGTTTGATTCACTATGGTGGTATCTTTTCTCCTTCACCTAGAGAACATGCTGAGACAGGCAAGCTTCCTGTTTTCTTCTTTTGTTGGTGGGAGGATTTTTTTTTTTCAATGTAATGTTAGCCTTTGAGGGTCCTGGCTACATGTAGGGAGACGTGGTGAGTTTTAGTTTCACTTCCCTGTTTGGGTTATTTTTTATCCAGTATATTGTTTTTCAATGTAATGTTAGCTTCTGGAAGTTCTGGCTATACATAGGGAGAGGTGGTGAGTTTTAGTTTCACTTCCCTGTTCGGGTTATTTTTTATCTAAGAGAGCATTAATGCCAAGCACAGGTTCATGTTTTGTGCTCAGTACCTTTTCAGTGTTTGACTCCCTGAGCTTTCCCTTACTTAGAGAACATTTAAAGGATGTTTGCTATATTTTATATCACTTTTTGTGACAAATATGTATTGCGATGCCATTGACATCTACCTTGAGGCTTTGGCCTTGAGGTGATGTATGAGTCTAATTGCACAACTCAAAGCAGAGGACTTCAGTGATTTCAGGGCCATTGTTTTATATGCCAAGGATATCTGTGAACATCAACAATAATGCAGATTTTCCCTTTTGTGGCATGGGCATGAAGCTTTCAAACTACATCTGTCTTCATTTCCTCAAATTTTCTCAAAGTTAGTGAAAGTTAAATAAATTTAAGGGTATATAACTAAAACTACAAATATTTGTTTCTTTGGATAAAGTGGTGTAACCACAGAATGTTTTTGTTACTTTTACAAATATATGCTTCATTTATAATGTTATTGTCAAAAATATTCATTGGGGATTACACAACAAAGCAAGTCTTCAACATCTACATAACATACGAAAGTGTTATTGGTGCTTAATGAAATTCTGTCTTTAAAAGAAGTAGGCATTCCTTGAGGGAAAAGTGTTACGCAGTTGAGAATTTTGATTAGTCTTATTGCTTTACCGTGATTCATCGTAGATTGATTTCTTAGTAAAATGTTTCTTCACTTTGATTTCAGGAGTCTTCCTTATACCACTGAATAATGAATGAAGATGAGCGAGAAAAAGAGAAGAGGTATGCATTCATAACTGACTGACATTTTTCTCAAAGCCCTCTCCCTTGTCCTCTGTTCCCATTTCACGTCTAGCAAAATCCTACTTCCTCAGGGAAGCCTAACTCACTCAGAGAAATATGAACAGACACTTATGAGGCCCACAAACATATGAACAAATGCTCATCATCACTGGTCGTTAAAGAAATGCAAATCAAAACCACATTGAGATATCATCTCACACCAGTTAGGATGGCGATCATTAAAAAATCAGGAGACAAACACCGCATGTTCTCACTCATAGGTGGGTGTTGAACAATGAGAACACGTGGACACAGGGAAGGGAGCATCACACACTGGGGTCTGTGGTGGGGAACTAGGGGAGGAACAGCGGGGGGTGGGGAGTTGGGGAGGGATAACATGGGGAGAAATGTCAGATATAGGTGAGGGGAGGAAGGCAGCAAACCACATTGTCATGTATGTGCCTATGCAACAATCTTGCATGTTCTTCACATGCACCCCAAAACCTAAAACACAATAAAATATATTTTAAAAAATCAGGAGACAAACAGATGCTAGAGAGGATGTGGAGAAATAGGAACACTTTTATACTGTTCTGTTGCTGGGAGTGTAAATTAGTTCAACCATTGTGGAAGACAGTGTGGCAATTCTTCAAGGATCTAGAAATAGAAATGCCATTTGATCCAGCAATCCCATTACTGGGTATATACTGAAAGGATTATAAATCGTTCTATTATAAAGACACATGCACACATATGTTCATTGTGGCACTGTTTACAATAGCAAAGACCTGGGACAAACCCGAATGCCCATCAGTGATAGACTGGACAAAGAAAATGTGGCAGATATACACTGTGGAATACTATGCAGCCATAAAAAAGGATGAGTTCATGTCCTTTGTAGGGACATGGATGAATCTGGAAACCATCATTCTTAGCAAACTGATACAAGAACAGAAAATCAAACACCACATGTTCTCACTCATGGGTGGGTATTGAACAATAAGAACACATGGACAGAGAGAGAGGAGCATCATACACTGAGGTCTGTTGTTGGGGTAGGGGAGGGACAGCAGGGGCGGTGAGGTTGGGGAGGGTTAACACGGGGAGAAATGCCAGATATAGGTGACGGGGGAATGGAGGCAGCAAACCACCTTGCCATGTATGTACCTATGCAACAATCCTGCATGATCTGCATATGTACCCCAGAACCTAAAATACAATTAAAAAAAATGTGGTTTCTCCAGTGGTTTTCTTCATAACCCTCAGCCCAACTCTATAATACTTAGCACATTACCTATTTACCTAACAGCCCTCTTCCTCAAACTGTGTCCTCCATGCCTTGCCCAGTGGCTGCCTAGAGCTGACTCTAAATAAATGGTTAACAAATAACTGACAAGTATACAATCCCTGATATGTTTTGAGCCTTGGCTTGCCTACAGCTTAAATTCGTTTATGTTTGAGAAGATTAAATTAACTTATTTTTTCATATCAAACTTCTAAAATAAATTTAAGTACACTGATCAGAAAGCTTTTGTCAAAAGTTTTCAGTATGATCTGTGGTTTTTAAAAGTTAAACAAAAACTCAATTAGCATTTTACAGTTCAGTCTTCTGAAAAGCAGCATTGGCTTTGAAGAGCCTCTTGAGTAATTATAGACCATTTAGAAAAAATTTTATTTTATCAGAAACGCTCTTGTTAAAACAGGTAATAATATGTGGTGGAACAAAGACCCAGCATTAAATTCAAATTAATTTGGACTTACTTTATGTAATTCTTAGGCCACTGTGCCAGTTACTGTGCTGGGCTTTGTTCTGGAAGAGATGAAGAGACAGATATGGTCCCTACCCTCAAGGGTCCCACAGCAAAGGGAGATGAAGTTGGCTTTCATTTCCTTATTTTAATAATGATTATTATTGTTGCTCTATGGGTAATCAAGGGACTGGATTTTTGCTCAGATATTGACACTAACTTCTCCTTTTCTCTCTTCTCACCTTCTATTGTTCCATCATCTGAATTCCATGCCTGACCCTTGCCATTAGTAAGCCTGACGGGTTTTCTTTTTCTCAATTAGGGATAAATCTGATGAATCCCAAAAGTCAAAGAAGTTCCAATTGGATGCTGTCTTGACAAGACTGCGCACAATACTGCAAACTCATGGCTATCCTGTAAAAGGAGGCAAATCTAAAACATCACAGGGCACTACTACCCTTTTACAGAAGGAAAAAGGTTTGATTTGTTCAGCCTGTGCCATACTTATAGATTTTCAATTAGCCACATTGAAAATTAGCTGTGAGTGGGAAAATTTGGTCTCTCACTTTACTTTAGTCATTTTCTGGGAGGGATTAATGATTAGAGGAACTCTTGAAGTACCTTCTAATACACAGATAGTTTGTTTCTTTCCATTCACAAGTTTGTATATGGTTGAGACTTAAAATCTGATTGAGATTTATGCAAAAGTGGACCAAGGAAATGAAAATTAATGGAAGCATATGTGGGAAATAATGCAAATTTCTGTATCTTAAGCACTTAAAGGCATGTGGTAAATATTGCCAAGGGAAACATGGCCCCGAGGTTGTAAAATATTACCTGTAATATTTTAAGGTTTAACTTAGAAGGTTTAACTCAACACATCTGAGTGGGTCATGCCCATAAATATGTAAATATGCTGTAATAATCTCTTACCTTAAATTTTTTGACCCCACGATACCTCCAGGTATTACCCTATTTATGTGTCCTCCTTCACAGAAAAGCTTACTAAAATGATTTTATAGGCCCTGTTTCCACTGGCTCACATCCCATTCTTTCTTCAACCCACTTCACTGAGGCTTTAGCTCCTACCATTCTAATACGACTACTTTTGTCAGGAATACCGGTAACCTTCACATTGATGAATTATTTGGTCCTTTAACTATACTCATCTTTCTTTTTCTTTATAACAAAATATTTACCTCTTCATTTTAATCAAGTGATTAGAAAATACATGAACAAATAATACATGGGGCAGATAAGTGTGGTGAAAAGAGAGTTGGTTTGGATGAGAGTTGAGAATTACGGCCTCATTTTGAGTGAATTGAGTAATTTTCCACACTTCTAGACTCTTCAAAAACATTGGACCTGTGACCACTCTCTCCTTTTTGAAACACTTTTCTCTTAGCTTCTGGGACAGCACAATCACCAGGTTTCTTTTCTGGTTCACTGGAGTATTGGTCCACTTTCACGCTTTTGGTAAAGACATACCTGAGCCTGGGCAATTTACAAAAAAAGAAGGTTTAATTGGACTTACAGTTCCACATGGCTGGGGAAGCCTCACAATCATGATGGAAAGTGAGAGACACATCTTACATCGCAGCAGGCAAAAGAGAGAATGAGAGCCAAGCGAAATGGGTTTCCCCTTATCAAATCATCAACTCTCATGAGATTATTCACTACCATGATAACAGTATGGGAGAAACTGCCCCCATGACTCAATTATCTTCCACCAGGCCGCTCCCTCAATCAAGTGAGAATTATGGGAGTACAATTTAAAATGAGGTTTGGGTGGAGACACAGAGCCAAACCGTATGAATTGGCCACTCCTTCTCTGTGTATTTTTACTTCTTCCTCTCCTTTCAACTTCTAAACAGGGGTGTGCCTATGGCTCAGTCCTTGGACTTTTTCCTCTTTTATATTTACACAGTACTCATTTTCCACATTATCTCATCTATTCCCTTGATTTGAAGTGTTATGTAGATGTCAGTGACATCCACTTTTAAAATCTATCTCCAGCCCTGAACTCCATACCTGAGAATCGCACTTATAAAATCATCAAAAGAGTTTTCTACATGATGTCTTCACTTGGATATTAAACAGAAAGGTTAACATGGCCATAAAGGAACTGTTGATTCTCCTCCACTGGATTGGCTCTCTCATCCCCACTTCTGGTTCTCTTCATATCAATAACTGGCAACCACCAGCCATTCTGCCAGCTGCACAAGCACAAAGTCTAGAAATCATTCTTGTTTCCTCCACTTCATTTACCATCTTATCCAATTCCTCTGAAATTTTTTTTAGCTTCTACCTCTGCAATATGTTTCATATCTATACATGTCTCACCATTTGTGTAGCCTTGATGTACCACCCAAATCCAGGCCACCATCATCTCTTACTTTTTTTTCTTTTTCTTTTTTAAATTGACCAATAAAAATTGTGTGGATTTGTGGCATAGAACATGGTGTTTTCATATATGTATACATTGTAGAATGGCTAAATCAGCTAATTGACATATGTATTATCTCACATACTTACCTTTTTCTGATGAGACCACATAAAATCTACTCTCTTAGCAATTCTCAAGTGTACAACATACTGTTATTTACTATAGTAACCATGACATGGAGTAGAGATCTTGAACTTATTCTAACTGAAATTTTGTATTCTTTGCCCAGCATCTCCCTATTCCCTCATCTGTTACTTTTGATGAAGGTTCATAGCTAGATTCTGCTTCTACCTTTGCTCCCCACTTTATTCTGTTTGGAACAAATAGTCGTAGAGATCTTGTGAAAACCTACCATGTCACTCTCCTGCTTAAAAGCACTTCATGGGCTGGGCCCAGTGGCTCACGTCTGTAATCCCAGCATTTTGGGAGGACAATGTGTGTGTATCACCTGAAGTCAGGAGTTGAAGACCAGCCTGGCTAACATGGTGAAACCCCGTCTCTACTAAAAATGCTAAAAATTAGCTAGGTGTGGTGGCAGGCACCTATAGTCCCAGCTACTCGGGAGCCTGAGGCAGGAGAATGGCTTGAACCCAGGAGATGGAGTTTGCAGTGAGCTGAGGTTGCGCCACTGCACTCCAGCGTGGGAGACACAGCCAGACTCTGTCTCAAAATAATAATAATTAAAAGCACTTCATGTTTCACTCAGAATAAAATATCAGTTTCTTACCATATACCCTACATGATCTGGCCCTTCTTATCTCTCAGGCTTCATTTCCTACTACTTTACCCCCTGATCATCCCACTGCAGCCACTCTGGGATCCTTTCTTTTCTTTAAATAGGGAAAATTATTTCCTGCTTCATGTTGCACTTACTGCTTCATCTCCCTGAGATGGTTTGGTCCCATGTCTTCACATAGTTGCTTTCTTGTCAATCAAATCTGACAAGTTTGACAAATCTGACAAACAGCTCAGATGTTACCTTCCTAGTAAGGCTTTTCTTGATCACTCATTCTTAACAATTATTGTATGTGCAGAAGCTGTACCAATTATTGTACCTGAAACTGTCTGTTCTGTTGTCTATGCGTTGATTATCTGTTCACACTGCTCCATCATTCTGTAAGATACAAAAGAACAGTCACCTTGTTTTTCTTGTTTATACTGTATCCTGAACCTCTAAAGCAGAATATGACCCACAGCAGGAGCTCTGTAAACATTTGTCAAATAAATGAATAAAAGAGGCTCAGTTTAACAAATACAGAATCCCTGCTATGACTTAAGCACCATGTCAGACATTGGGGATATGATGAAGAATTTGTATGATACGCACTGTAGAGGGTAAACAAAAACAAGTTCATGGGTAATAGTAAAGTAGAAAAGTCCTTTGTGGTTTATTTATAAAATACACTGGTTATCCTTTCTTGGCAATATATGGACTTCCCTATTGTTTTATTTCTTTGAAGTATAGGAGATGAAAGTTATTAAATGGAACTGGAAGGCAATGGATAAATTTCTTCAGAAGTTGACTACGGAAGAGTGTCATGGTTGTTTTCTGAATTTGAAGAGCTCTGCCTAGAATTGAGTCTCCAAACTGGGACAGTGGTCAGGATCACTGATCTTGAAGCATTTATGCAGTTGGCATGGCCTACTTTTCATGTTATTCCTATTTCACACCCAGTTACACACCCTATTTTTTACATTGTACTTTAAGGTCTGGGGTACATGTGCAGAACTGGCAGGATTGTTCCATAGATACACACATGCCATGGTGTTTTGCTGCTTCCATCCCCCCGTCACCTACATCAGGCATTTCTCCCAATGTTATCCCTCCCCAACCTCCCCAATCCCAGCTATCCCTCCCCTATCCCTTCATACCCCAACACACTCGATTATGTGATGTTCCCCTCCCTGTGTCTATGTGTTCTCATTGTTCAACACCCACCTGTGAGTGAGAACGTGCAGTTCCACACCCTATTTTTATTCCCTCATCATTGAGGGCTCTAAAGCTCTCCTTATGCATGGCCTCCCTCTTATCCAACTCTATTCCTAGAAAAGGTTCAAAGACCCATGCCTGTCAAGAAAGCAATAGCCACTGTCAAAATTATCCTTGTCATAGGATTTTACACTTTTAATGGAGATCAAAGTTGTATGTGATGGGTCTCATTTTTCTGTAAGGAGAAGGAACTAATGTTTATTGACATGAAGCATTAAAATAACTTGAGATTGGAGGGCCGTGTTAGTGAAATCCCTTTGCTAGTGAAGTTAGTGGAGTAGGTAGAGTTGAGGAGGTAGAGAGGGGCACATGTTGACAGCAAAGACTAAGCACAGCAGCAGAAACACTTCCCATTGGGGAAACCAGAAAACCTTGAAGAATGTGATAAGACAGATGGTGGAGAGGTCAGTACCAGTAGCTTTGAAAAGATAAAAGATAAGGCTTGAAGATATTCTATTTAAGGGCCTTACTTAAAGCTTAAATACATTAAAGTAAACAGTGAAGTTCCATAATTTAGTCGGGACTAGGGGAGTGCTTTGGGAGTCTGGATCTGTTTAGAGCCCTTGACTTACCTGGCAGATTATGGATACTGGGTTTTGGTAGAACTCAAGAGAACAAAAAAAGAACTAGAAGTTGAAAAATCATAAAATCTTTGGACAGGTCATAATGTGTGTGGCAGAAATTGAATTGGATGATCTTCAAAGTCTTTTTCAATTCCAAACACTTCTGTTTTTATGATCATTTATATACAATTAGTTAGTCGACATCAGATCCTTCATTAGCACTCAGCATTTTCTCATCAGTCTTTTCTATAAATTAAGTATAACTTTGAAAAATCTAATACCCATAGCTAAGTATTTTAATGTGACACTGTTCCGTCCTTCGTTCTTTTTTTCTAAAAAGTTAAAGTCAATCCAGAAAGGTCTCAAAAGAAATTAAATTGGATGCCATCATTTCGTACCTATGATGACTTCAACCAAACGACGCTTCAGGTAAGAGGGCTTTTGTTCTTTGATTACTTCATATGTTGAATACATATAATAGATGACAAAGAATAGTGTTTTTCAAAGTGTGATTAGGAGATCATATGCATCGGAATCACCCAGGGAGCTTGATAAAATACAGATTTCTGGGCCCTAACTTAAATCGTCTGAATCAGAATCTCAAACCTGTGAGGGCCAGGAGTTTGTATTTCTCTCAGGCTCCCCAGATGCTGCTTATGCCAACTGAGTTTTGAGAACCACTGATTTTGAGTTACGACAAGCACAAACAAGTCTCTGCATAGGTTAGTGGCAAGTTAAGTGGTTATCTGGTAGACTCATTCAACATAGATTGCTATACTCTAATGAATTAGCCTTCAGGTAGTTTTCTACCCTTCAAGAATGTAAGGTGTTTATAGTTCCTATCTCCAGGAGAACCAGTTAGTTTCACAAGCCACAAGCACACTGAAGGACAACAGTCCTTCAAGGTGGACAGATAAGGATCCAGATTTTGCCTTTCTTACTTACTTGCTGTGTGTCTTGACTGAGTTAACATCTCTAAGCCTTGATTTCTTTCTCTTTAAAGTGGGTAAAAAATATCTTTATCTCGCTGAGATGATGTGAGAATAAAATAAACATGTATGAAAATTTATACTATAGTGTTTGGCACACATTAGATGCCCGGAAATTATGAGTCCAGTCCCTTTTCCCCTTTGGTACTGGCTGACCACCCAGCACTATGACCATTAGTGGTCATAATGGGGTCTGAGAAAGGCATTGTGTGAGTGAATCTTTTCAAACCTATCCCAATGTTAGAGGCAAAATTCTACTAACTGTGAATGAGTGGAGCCATATTTTAATACTCTGCTTCATCTTTCTTCCTTTCAAGCAACAGACTCTCACTTTTTTTTTTTTTTTTGAGACAGGGTCTCACTCTGTCATCCAGATTGGAGTGCAGTTATATGATTGTGGCTCACTGCAGCCTCAACCTCCTGGCCCCATGTGATCCTCCCACCTCAGCCCCCAAAGTAGCTGGGACCAGAGGTGCACACTACCATGCTCAGCTAATGATTTTTTATTATTCTTTATAGAGACAAGATCTCACTATGTCACCCAGGCTGGTTTCCTGAGCTCCTGGGCTCAAGCAATCCACCTTGGCCTCCTAAAATACTGAGATTACAAGTGTGAGCCACTGTACCTGGCCTTCTCTCAATTTTATTAGAAGTTTTGTTTTAGGGATCTTATACACAAATATTTGCTAAATAGAGGACTTAAAATGTGTTATGTGAAACCCTGTTACTAATTTTATGAAACCAGATGCTTATTTGAAATATTTTAGGAGCTAGACAAAGTGTAACTATACCATACAGGGATAGTTATGTTCACAACTACGGAATATACAACATTCAACTGGAAGGATAAGACTATCTTGGGTAATTCCCTCCTTTTCACTTTTTTCCCCTCCATTAGGCTTTACTAATTTCCTTGGGAAAGCCTATTTCTTATTCATGAAGTTTTTTCATGCAATAAACAAGCTATCTCAGTCTGGCTAATCAGAGCTGACTTTAACCAGAGATGGAGACATCAGGGAATCTGAGAAGAGAGACAATAGAGGCTCTTTGTCTTTACTTTCCAGTTTCATTACAGCTTTGGCCGTTCTTTTGAAGCATGAAAGAAAGTGGAGTTTGGAGAGCAAGAGAGTGAGGTGGCTTTGTTCCTTATGGCTTGTATTTTAGAGCAATGACTTAGCTTTGGATGTTTCCTTCCTGTTTGCCATACTGTTGGTCAAACGTAACAGCCTCTTGACATCTGCATAACAACCTACACAGTGCTCTCATATAGAGTAGCTAATTTCATTCTCACAAGAAGCTTATGATTAACTTAATAATGATGTCAATCCCCCTTACTGTAGGAAAGAGGAGACCAAAGCTGGGAGAACTTGTGCCTTGCCCAAATCCAAGACTGTTGAGTAGCACAGCTGAGTAGTACACCATGTTTTCTCACCCACACATCAGCCCACAGGGGTCCAGACTAACTCAGAGCAAACCATCTCAGTAGAGAATGTGGTAATCAAAATGCCAAAAGCAAGCAGATATACAGAAAACGAGTAGAGGAGCAAAGTGCTTTACCACATCTGCCTAGACTCTTTTCTGAACCTATGTGTTTGGAAGTTCACTTCAGGCATGTGGCAGTTTTGGATGTCATCTTTTGATGTCTAATAGGAAATAGCAAACACCCAATTTTAAAAGCTTTTACTTAAAATTGTGTCTTACAGAAATGTATATAACGTATATGAACAGTTAAAAAAAAACTACAAGTAACACTGAGCTTAAGAAATAGAGCATTATCGGATCCTTTCAAACTCCTTTGCCGTAATCTTCTTTTTCTACACCACTTCTTTCCTACCATTTCCTGAGTTCTGTGTCGAGCTTCCTTTGCTTTGCTTTGTATTTTTAGGACATATGTATGCATCTCTAAGTGATATGTTGTTTTCTTTTGCATTATGTTCACCTTTATGTAAATATATTGTATGTATTCTTCTCTGACTTGATATTTTTGCTCAACCTTTCTTTTTCAATTCATCCATGATAATGCATGTAAATCTAGTGCATTTATTTTTACTTCTGTATTCTTGTTAGAACATACTACACAATTACTTACCCATTCTACTGTTGATAAGCCCCTGAAATCTGTTTTAGCTCATGCTCCTTAGGAAGTAGAGGATGAAGCAAAACTGATATGCTAAGGTTTTAGTGGGATATGCACTCTCAGGGTAGTGAGGGTGAGGGGAAAAGTAAGGCAAAGAAGAAGGGAATTGAAAGATAGGGTGGTTTATTACCAAGCTGGATGCAGCTTCACAAGAACACACAGTGGGTTGTTCAGTCACTCTTAAACTATATAAAAGGCACCACACCTTGTAATAGTCTGTATAGGGGAAGAAGAGAAAATATTGTGTCTACCACTTCCTTTCTATCTCCTGTCATTAGTCAAAAGTCACATGGATGTTTACATGGATTTACATTCTGTCCTTTGGGTTACCTGGCTTTTCTGGAAACCCACTGCGGTACCCAGATCCCATGCCCTGAGGTGGATGAAGTTTACAGCTTTCATGAATCCAGTCACTTTGGATGGATACTGAAGCCCCTCCTGCTGGTGGAGTTAGGAGACTAGACTGGAACTGCAAAAGCAGAGCTAACATCCCTGGCTTGATTGAAGGTGGGATGGGGTATGAATCTTGAAGAGGCGCATAAACTGGGTTTGGTTTAGCTATAGGTTTTTGTTATTGTGAGCAGTTCTGGTTTGAACATTTTTGTTCATATATCCTTTTCCATATAAGCAAGAGTGTTTCTAGGTGTATATCTAGGAGTGAGATTGCTGGATGGTAGGGTGGAGTGACAGGGTGGCTTCCCTCTACATGAAAGTGACAAATTGCTTTTCAAGTGGCTGTGTTTCACTGTGTATTTTACTGTTCATTTATATTCCCAGTAGTATGGATGAAAGTTCTTATTAATCCACATCATTGCTAATAATTTATTGTCTAATTTTTAAATTTTTGTCAATTAGGTGGGAATGGAATGGTGCCTTGTTTCATTACAAATGACAATGAGCATCTTTTCACAAATTTTGAGGCCATTTGTGTTTCCTCTTCTATAAGATGCTTGTTTCTAGCCTTTGCTAAGTTTCTTATGGTATTGTTCTTTCTAACTATTCATATGTTGGAGATTTTTAAAATAGATTCTGGAAATGAATCACTTGCTAGTTATGTGTTGCAAATTTCTTGTGCTAGTTTGTAGCTTACCTTTTCACCATTTAAAATGACTTGACAAACAGAAATTATTAATTTTAAAGTAATCAAATTTACCAGTCAAAGAGCGTTTATTTTCTTGTTTAAGAAATCCTTACCTACCACAAGGTAATAAATATATTATCTTATGTTTTATTTTAAAAGCTTTAACATTTTATCTATTATATTTAATGTGTTTATACTTTTTGAGTTCATTTTTGTGTATGCTATGAAGGAGAAACATTATAAATATAAGAGAATATTTTAAATTAATGATTCTGTTCCTTAATGGTGATGTGATTGGTCATATTTCCTATTTCTTTCAAAGTCACTTTTTGTAATTTATGTTTTTCTAAAAATTGCTTTCAAATTTATTGGCATAAAGTTGTTCATAATTTTCTCTTGTTATTTTCATGTCTGAAGCTTCTGTAATTATATCCACTTTTCACCACTAATGATTCATATTGCCAGAGGTTTGTCAGTTTTAATGTTATTTTCACAGAATTGACTTTTAACTTCCTTGATTCTCTCCATTGTGTCTTTATTTTTTTTATTTTATTAATTTTTGCTTTTAGTTTTATTATTTACTTATCCTACTTTTTTGGGTTCATATTTTGTTCTCTTAACAATTTTAGATTATTTAATTCATTGATTTGTCACCAGTCTTCTTTTCTAATATGTACATTTAAGCAAAGATTTCCAAGTGTTGTTTTAGCTGCATTTCACAGTTCTTGATAAGTAGTGTTTAAAAACTATTTTATTATTCTTTCTAATCTCCATGATAACTTATTATTTGTCCTGTTATTTATTGTGGTAAAATTTATATAACATGAATTTATCATTTTAATTGCTTTTAAATATGGAGTTCAATGGCATTAAGTACATTCACATTTTGTGCAACCATCACCACCATCCATTTCCAGCTTTTAAAGCTTGCATAACTGAAACTCTGTACTCAAACAGTAACTCCCCATTCTCATTTTCTCCACATTCTTGGTAACCACCATTCTACTTCCTGCATCTATCAATCAATTTGGCTATCCTGGGAACTTAATATAAATGGAATCATACAATAATGTCCTTTGGTGATGTGTTTCACTTAGCATAATATCTTCATGTTTCATCCATGTCGTACTTTGTGGCAAAATTCTCATTCCTTTTAAGACTGAATAATATTTCATTGTTTGTTACACATTTTGGCTATCCATTCTTCTGTTGGACATTTAGATTGTTTACACCTTTTGGCCATTATGAATAATGCTTCAGTGAGCATAGGTGTACACATATCTATTTGAGCCCCTGCTTTCAGGATTTTTTTTTTTTTTTTTTGGTATACATCCAGAAATGGAAATGCTGACTCACATGATAGTCCTATGTTTAGTTATTTGAGAGACTGCCATAGAGTTTTCTATAGCAGCTTTGCCATTTTACACTACTACCAATAGTGCATAGGGGTTTCAATTTCTTCATGTCCTGTCCCAAAACTTTCTGTTTTGTTTTAATCATAGCCCATCCTAATGGGTTTGAGGATTTCATGACTTTATCCAAATGTAGAATCCTGCTTGCAATTATTTGGGCTTCCTGAATATTAAGATTGGTATATTTTATTACTTCTGGATGATTTTCAACCTATATCTCATTGAGTATATCCTCTTCTCTATATTACTTCCTTCTGGAACGCTGATCAGACATATGTTGGACTTTCTCATTCTCTTCTCGGTTAAATTAAATTATCTTATTTTCCATTTGTATGTCTTCTAGTGTTACATTCTGAGCCATTTCTTCAGCTCTTCCCAGTTCAAAAATTTTATTTCTGGCTGTGTTCTAACATACTATTTAACCTATACATTAAGTATCTAATTTTGATGGTAATATCATTTATAGACATTTTGTTTGATTATGTTTTATAACTCATTAGTCAGTTTTGAGTCTCTTGTTTCTTCATGTTTGTAGTGTCCTTTATTATTTATTTAAGCTTATTAAGCATACTTATTTTGTATTCTGTATCTGATAATTCCAATATCCGCTATTTTTAAAATATGAGTCTACATTTTATTATGTCTATTGCCTCTTGTTTGTAATGTTTCATCTCTTCCTGGGTTTTATTTTTTATTATAAGCTCATATTATTTGTAACTTTATCTGCCGGAATTCTTTGAACATTCATTTAAAAATAATTCTCTAGATGTGATTTTGATTTCCTTTTGTTAGACATATGGGGTCAGTACCACATTAAACTAAATACTAGACTTTGATTGTTGAGGTCCACACAGGTAGTGTATGAATTCTACCTCCAAGTTTGTGTGAGGGTGGGCTTCTGTTTAGCACCTCTTAAAGTTGGCTATTTTTTCTTTTCCTACTCTTCCCAGGACTGAAGCTGAGGCAGGTATGCACATTCCCTGTCTCCTTTCATTGGATAAGATTTTTCTGTTTCACCTGTTGAAGGTGTCACCCTTTTGGAGACTTGGCTTTATGTTGTAATCTTTGATTTCACCTCCTACCTTGTACAGGCCTCGGCTTTGCTTTTGTCCCCTAAACTTTAGGCCATCAGTGTTGGCAAGATACTCTCAAGGCAAATACAGGGTCTGATATACTCTGATGTCATAATTCTCACAATATAGTCATTTTTGACACCAGATTATTTCCCTTACTTTACCAATAGCTTGTTTCTGTTTTGAAAAATAAGTTTTATTCGTCATTTTAGATATTCTCTACCAGGAGACATTTGTCTGGCTATTGAATCCATTATATAGCAGGGAAGTGATGGGTATATCCATATTTATAAGGAGATGACTAACCTAACCACAAAGGAAAGTGTCCTTAAAATATTTTTAACATTTTTGAAGTTAAGTGTTCTAAAAGTGAAACAACCTACACACAGAAATGAATCTTCTTGGCTTGTGTTAGAGAACTTCATGTTAATTGGGTGTATATTGAAATTTGTTTGTTTAAATGACACATCATTTGATAAACATTTCATGCTTAAGGTTAAGTAGATTCTGTGTAGGAGGCAGAATAATGGAATTTTAATTAAGTCTGTGCCTACTTTATTGACATTTAAGGACTGCAATACATTTTCAGTGTGCTATTATAATTATGCATTTAGAAATAAAGCTATCATTTTATTATTGTTCCACTATTTAATTACATTATTATTCTCCTGTCATTAGTCATTAGATGGCTTTATGATTACACTGAGCACAGATGGAGTGATTATTTATGTGGATGAAAACATCTCTTCTCTTCTTGGACATGTATCAGTAAGTTCTTCCTACTTTTGGGAAAGTGGATCATTCTGGTTTGTTGTTTAGGGGTTTATTATTTATTTTCAGGAGCATAAAACTCATCACAGAAGATGTTTTCAATGTTGTCAAAACGTGCCCCTGTTTTATTGTCATTTCCATGGGTTTCAGAATACTATAGATTGTCTTTGTAAACAACATAAATTTATATTTTAGTTTTAGAATCTGAGAAGTCCAAGATCAAGGTGCCAACAGATTTGGTGTCTAGTGAAGGCCCACTCTCTGGTTCAGAGACATCTCTATTCTTACCATAACCTTACATGGTAGAAGAAGCAAAGGAGCTCTTTGGGGGTCTTATTTATTTATTGAGACGAAGTCTTTCTCTGTCACCCAGGCTGGAGTGCAGTGGTGCGATCTTGGCTCACTGCAACCTCCGCCTCTCAGGTTCAAGTGATTCTCCTGCCTCAGCCTCCCAAGTAGCTGGTATTACAGGCACACACCACCACATCTGGCTAATTTTTATGTTTTTAGTAGAGACGAAGTTTCACCATATTGATCAGGCTGGTCTCAAACTCCTGATCTCAAGTGATCTGCCCATCTCAGCCTCCCAAAGTGCTGGGATTACAGCCGTGAGCTACCATGCCCAGCCTAGAGGTCTCTTTTGTAAGAACACTAATCCCATTAATCATCTCTAAAAGCTCCACCTCTTAATATAATACCATCACATTGAGAGTTAGATTATTTCAATATATAAAGTTTTGGTGGACATAAACATTCAGTCTGTAGCAAGGCATTCATATTCCACTTATATATGTGTTTGAACAGGGGTTACCCATAATACATTTACCAACAACAGTCCTCCCAAACAAACTGTCTGCCATTGGCATGGCTGTGTTAACAAAAGGTTTTGGGAGAGGATATGAAGAAATTGAAACCCTATGCACTATTGGTGGTAGTGTAAAACAATCACATCTCTGTTGTTGTTTTACATATTCCTCATTCCACACAGTTGTCTCAAGAACTTGACAAACCCTGATCCAGAGATCTATAGTACTCAAGTTTGGAATGTGGAAATTAATAGAAGCTAGGTTAGATTATCCTGTAGTTAGGTTGGAAGTAAATTAAAAACATTTCACTAGTTTAGCCAGGCTAGTTGGCATGTTCTGTGACCTTCTTGGGAACTCACAGTCTTTATACCCTTTAAAAAAAAAACTTACAGATGCTAGAATCAATCTCTTTTATTTCTAATTCTCTTTCATTCTTTAAAAAAAACAGTTTACATTTCCAAATTCAGCTTATATTTGTAGGATACGAAAACAGCTGAATAAAATGCAAATAGTAGAGATATTTATTGGATTGCACTTTAGTATGTTTAAATCATAGAAGGACAATAATCTTTTAAAATCTATATTAAAAGAAGGAATGTATGATTATGATCCATTACAGCTTAAATTTTATTATAATGAAAACCAGAAAACTACTCAAATTCTTGTGGCATCAGATATTGCATAAACCAAATTGGTCATTGACTGAGACTGGTGACTTTTTCTTATTATGCAAGGATTTTTTTTTATAGTGATGGTGTTAGTTGAATGAATAAAATGGTGCCTGTTATCATCATCATCATGGTATTAAACTTTTATCCGTCATCAAACTTTTATCCATGCCATCATATTTTCCCAGTCGTTTATTTCATTGAGTTTTTTTTCCTTTGGAAAAACTCAGTCATTTGTAGTAGTAAGTTCTAATCACTGCCCCCTGTTCTTAGTAGCCTGCCTTCCTACTCACCCTACTCCATCATTCCCCCCCCAAAATAAAATCAAATCTGGGGGTTTACATATGTTTATTCTCTTTTTCAGTTACTGACTGTACTAATATTTGTGTGACAACTAATAGGTATTTGCAAACTTTGCTTTTGAAAAACCACCTTAATTTTTTGCTTGTATTTATCCTTGCTTCATTAGGCTCTAAGTACCTTGATCTTTCTACCTTGTATAATAAGAAAAGCAAATGCTAAAAACTTACAAAAGTAACATAAGGTTGATCGTGCTTTCAGGTCTTTGCCCTTTTTTTTTTTTTTTTTTTTTTTTCTTTGCCCTTTTTCTAACTAAGGAACAGAGTCACTGGAACAGGTCCACTGTTTCAATTGGTGGTTAATTATAAGGCTTATTGTCATTATTCCTATCCCTAGACAACCAATAAGAAACTCATTATCACTAGCCGCATCCAAGGGAATGTGGACTATCAAAAGATAGCTCACTTTGAACTCTTTTAAGGGACAATCCTATCTTCATTTTAAAACTAATGAAAGAACTTATGAGACATAGCACTTTGTATCTTGTTATGGTATTACTTTATATTTTGCATCATAATTGATTGTGCATATTTAATCTGCCCTACTACACTATGTGCTCATTGGAATTCGTTGTCAGGTTCATCTTATGTAACCCTTATAAGAACTAAGTATAAAATCTTATTCAATGAATAACTTCATGTAGAATGTCCAAAATATGGGAACTGGTCTAGTAGCAAATTTTCTGTTCCTGATGCAAATTGGACTTGTGGCAGCTATGGTGTAGTGGAAAGGACATAGGCATGGAATTGGATGGAGCTTTCATGGGAATTTCATTTCTGCATTTCTGAACTCTCAACAATTGGACAAGCCTTAATTTCCTGATAAATAAAACAAAGCGTAGTTCTTCCTCTTCCAGGGGATTAAGTGAGCTTGTATATGTGAACATACCCAGAACAGTGACTGGCATGGAGCAATATTTTATCATGTGTTAGATGAGTGAATGAATGAGTGGTCTCCACAGGGATAACCTAGTTTGGCATCTAAAGTCTATTTTATAACTAAACCAATGAAAGCGTTTTTATTGAGAAAGCTAAATTTAGTTTTAAAAAATCTGCATTTATTTTGGGAAGTCAGTATTTTACTGTGTGACTTTCACTGTCAACATATATTGCCTGTTAATTTCATAATGTTTTGTTTGCCAGATTAAGGTAACATATCCATCCTTAATTAAGCCAAGCTTGATTGAGACAGCATCCATCTGCTAATTTGAGCACTGAACAGTTCATAGGCTGGCCTCTACAAATAGACCATGAAGATATATTTCAAAATATTGATTGTAGATTATGAATACTAATCAGTTAAAAAATCATTGCAATTTGTGGTTCATCACACAAAGTCATTATTCAGCTACAAAGAATACTTTATTGCTTTGTTCCTATCACATTAAAAGCTCATTACTTCTGTATCTGATATTCAATTTATCCACATCTCACCATATTTCAACTACATGATACAGTATTATTCACTCATTCAACCAATATTTACTGAGTGCTTACTAGTGCCAAGCTCTGTTCTAGGTGTTGAGGATGTAGCAGTGAGAAAGACAGACAAGGTCTCTGTTATAATGTAATTGACATTTTAATGGGGAAGGCAGATAATAAACAGATAACAAAAAAGGCAATAAGAGAATGTCAAGGAATTGGTGCTATTTAAAATACTTTCGAGTAAAGACCTGCAGTAAGTGAGGGAGAAAGCCATTGCAAATATTTGGGAATGAGTGCTTCACATTGAAGGAGGAGTTAGTTTAAGGGCTATGAGATGAGTATTTGCTCTCGTTGTGTTTGTATGTGAATGAGGAGTTAGGTGTACCTGGAGTGCAGTGAGCAACAGAGAGAGAATGAGAGCAGATAAGGTCAATAGCAGCAAGAAACGAGAGCATAGAATGGTGCAAGCCCTTATAAAGACTTTGGCTTTTATTCAGAATGACTTGGATAACCAGTAGAAAATTTTGAGTGAGCAGAGGAATAGCATAATGTGACTTATGTTTTGAAAGGATCACACTGGGTGTTCTATAGAGAATGGAGTGGTGGCAGGAGCACGGCAAGAATAGATGCAGGGAGAGCAGTTACAACTACTGCAGTAATCCAAACTGGAATTGCGACTTGGACCAGGTGGTGAGAAGTGGAATGAGTCTGTATGTGTTTTGAAAATTGGCCGGGCGCCTGTAATCCCAGCACTTTGGGAGGCCGAGGCGGGTGGATCACGAGGTCAAGAGATCGAGACCATCCTGGTCAACATGGTGAAACCCCTTCTCTACTAAAAATACAAAAAATTAGCTGGGCATGGTGGCACGTGGCTGTAATCCCAGCTACTCAGGAGGCTGAGGCAGGAGAATTGCCTGAACCCGGGAGGCAGAGGTTGCAGTGAGCCGAGATCGCGCCATTGCACTCCAGCCTGGGTAACAAGAGCGAAACTCTGTCTCAAAAAAAAAAAAAAAAAAAGAAAAGAAAATTGATCCATTAGAGATTGCTGATGGACTGGATGTTGAATTTGAGAGATAAAAGGCAAGTCAAGGACAAGTAAATGGGTAAATGGTGGTTGCCATTACTGAAAACAGAGAGGAACATGTTTTGTCAAAGAAAAGATCAGGAGTTATTTTGGATATCTTAAAATTGAAATCCTATTAGACATCCAAGTTGAGTTATCATGTGGGCAAGAGACGAGTATCTGTGAATCACTAACAGATAGGTGGCATTTAATGAGATGGAACTGGAAGAGACCATATAGGGAAACAGGCTTAATGACTTCTCCGTGGCACTCTGATGCCTAGTATTCAGGAAGCAAGAGTAAGGTCCAGCAAACTGTGAAGGAGTAGCCTTTGAGGTGGAAGCATATCCTTATGTGTGTGGTGTCCTGGAAGTCAAGTAAATGCTTCAAGAGAAGAGGAAGGATCAACTGCCTCCCATGCTGACATGCTTGGTAAGATGAGGGCTGAACAGTGATGATTTGATTTGGCAATATGGAGGTCATTAGTGACTTTGGCAAAAGCATTTTCAGTGGAGTGGTTAGATATGAACTTCATTAGTGTGGTTTCAAGAAAGAGTGAGAAGTGAAGAAATGGGACGGGACAAGTTTAGTTTGTTTCAGGAAATTTTGTTCCAAAGTGGACCAGATAAGTGGAGTTTTAATTGAAGGGAGAGGTGGTAATGTAAAGGAAGATTATGCGTTTTTAGAATTTTGTGTTGTTGGTTTTGTTTTCCTGATTATTTTTAAAATTTCTTGTTGATACATAATATTTGTACATATTTATGGCATGCATGTGATACTTTGATACTTGCAAAGAATGTGTAATGACCAGATAGATAGATGACAGATATTACCGCAACTATAATACAGTATTTTCGTATGCTTATGGGAATACCCAGTAAAGAGGTAAAGAAAACTTGATGTGTGGAGTAGGGTGAGAATTTCTAGAACAATGTCTTTGGATAGTCTACAGAAAATGGGATGCAGTGCACAGGTGGAGGACTTAAATTTAGTTAGGAGCTTATTCATTGGAAAAGGAGGGCAAGCATGTCTGTAGACACAAGAACAAATAGGTTGGTAGATTTGGTGTCAGATGTTGACATTGCCCATTTTTTTTTTTTACTGAAATAAGAAATGAGGTCGGCTGAAAATGAAGGAAGGCTGGGGATTTGAGGTTTGAAGTAGGAAAAAGAGTAGGGAAGCAAATTGTCTAAATACATGATTTTGGGACAGAGTTGAAAATGTGTTTGAAATAATATACTCTTGGTTGTGGGTTTTTCTTCATCTACATGCAATTGCTTGGGTAAAGGTGTATGGTAAATGAAAGGTTGGAAGCAACCAGAGTCAACATTTTCCCAGGCAAATATGGTAGAGGGAAAGAACACATAAGAATGATTACAATGACCATGGAATCTGAGCTCTATAGGGAAAGATGTCACGATTTGATGAAGATTATGCACAGTAAAAATGTGATAGGAATGGACTAGATGTCTCAGTGGATGGAATAATTATTGGAAAGGTGTATTTGTATGAGCGCACTGAAAAGGTAGGAGGTGGTGTCATAAAGTAGGATGTGTGAATTGTATTTTTTAGAGGTACAACAGGTATAACCGTAGATGGCTGAGGTAGGGCAGAGCATAAGCTTACTGGAGGTAAGGAGATAGAGGAACTGAACAGTATTAACACAGATAAAAAACTTTACTCTCTCTTTTTTTCCCTCCTTTTCTCCTTCACCTCCTTCTCTCCTCTCCCTCCAGGCTGAGATTGTGGACAAAAAATTATTAAGCTTTCTGCCTGATGAAGAGAAAAATGAAGTCTCACAAAAGATTATTCTCAAATATCCTTTGTTAAACTCAGGTAGGTATTTATTTTTTTTCCCCATTTATTTATTTTATTGCATTTTAGGTTTTGGGGTACATGTGAAGAACATGCAAAATTGTTGCATAGGTACACACGTGGCAGTGTGATTTGCTGCCTTCCTCCCCATCACCTACATCTGGCATTTCTCCCCTTGCTATCTCTCCCCAGCTCCCCACCCCCCACTGTCCCTCCCCTATTTCCCCCCAACTGACCCCAGTGTGTAGTGCTTCCCTCCCTGTGTCCATGTGTTCTCATTGTTCAACACCCACCTATGAGTGAGAACATGCGGTGTTTGATCCTCTGCTCTTCTGTCAGTTTGCTGAGAATGATTGTTACTTGTCCCTTAAAACCTAAGAATGTATTACTTTTAAAAACTCAGGTATGTATATTTTTAAAAGTAATACATTCTTAGGTTTTAAGGGACAAGTAACAATCACTCAATGGGTTAATTTTTTAAAGTTATTAGAGCATATCTCATATATTAATTTACTTTTATATAATATTACAATCTATATGTCTAGTGTTAAAAAATCTCTCCTCCAATAAATCTCATTCTTCACTATGGACCCTGATTATTATAGCATTTGTACAATTGCATTAGTGCTATGTAAAGAATGGACCATTGTGTATATAGTGTTCTAGCTAGTGCCCTACTCTACTGATACAACATAGATAGCTATGTAAGTGCTAATGTTTGTGGAAAGAAAATAATATTTTTGTAAAATCTAGTCTAAGTAAGACATTGGTCATATGAAATAATCCAGTAGAATATGGTAAAGTACAAATGTAGACTTGTTTTGTATTTGTTCTCTTTTTAATAGAAACACATATTGAATTTTGCTGTCATTTAAAAAGAGGAAATGTTGAACATGGTGATGGTCCTGCTTATGAATATGCAAAATTCATTTTGAATGTAAAAGATGTTTCTAACGGTAAGCAATTCTGTTTATGTTATCTATATAACATTCATGAGTTATGTAGCCCCTCATTACTAACGTAAATGCTCTTCTGCTTGGCAGTTGCAAACTGTCTGATATCCCTATGACCACAGTTTCTGACTACTCACATTAATTATACTTTAAAAAATTAACAGTGAAATGTACAAGGTGGGGATCATACCAAATCATGATACACTGAGTTAAGGATGGCTCTTTCTTTTTATAAAACAAAGAAACGATTGCAAAAATATAACAAAAGACATTTAATGCATATCCAAGCTGAAAATAAAGGGGACTCTATGTGTACCAGAAATCAAAGTTTAAAGCAGTATGAAAATGGTAAGAAGAAGCTGATTTTGTGGCGGCCTCAGTGGATATTAAGTCATGCATAGGCTCCTTTGGCTGGGGTCTGGAATTCTAACACCCAGTCAAGCACCAGTATATAAAACCTAGAGATCAATAAAGTGATCAATAAAGTTCTGGCCATTGGCCTAGAGGAATAATGAGTAGGTTTATCATCTCTCTGGGAATTTGAATGGACAAAAATGTGCCATTTGCAGGAAACAAAAACCCAAATTTTTGTTGTGTGTGGATATAGGGTCCATTTTATAAATTTTGAGGTTTCAGAAACTGCAAGCTGAGAAATTAACATAAATTAGGTAACATTAACTGGTTTGGAGCCATTAAAACATCTGGGACTTGAATCAGAGGTAAATAACCCAAATAGCTAACAAATATATGAAAAGATACTCAAACTCACTAATAAGCAAATAATGAAACATTTAAAAGCCACTAACATTAGCACTCTATGCCCATCACAATGGGAAAAATTAGAAGTGTGAATAATACCAAATATTGATGAAGATGTGAAAAATGAATAAATAAATTAAATTGAGTCATGCAAAAGCTGGCTGATGTATTTGTCACGATTCTTGGAAATTAATGGTCACACCTTTTGAAAAAATCTTACTTGACTATGTATGCAAGATTACACACACTCTCTCTCTTTCTCTCTCTTTCTACCCATGTGATCTATATAAAAGAGAGGAGCCACATTTCTTTTGGAGACTAAAATGTCCATACACAGGGTAATAACAAAAGACTGAAAACTAACCTTAAGTCTCAACATTTGATTTTTACTAACGACTTCTTTATGTTTTGGTGGGGAGGATGGCTGAAAAGGAAAGAAGACAAGAAAAATCCCATGGCTCAGAATTCTGAAAATAGTCAATGGGTTAGCAAACAGTACATGGATGTGGCAGGTGTTCGTCTTCTTGTTTAACTGACCCACCTTTCTGTTGTCACATGTGTGTCTATCTTCCTCAGAGTCTACTGTGTTCTTTAGTAGTTTCTGTTCCAGCCACCGCTATGCTGACTTGTCTGCTGCACATATTTCTTGGGAGGATCAGTTTTATCTTATGGGAACTGTTTGTATTCTCAGGACTCAGCTCCTGCAGGTGAGTACACTGTGTTTGTGCTTCCCCCATTGTGGCGATGGGGGCTTTCTTTGAAAGGTCATATCCCTTTTCATCTCTCAGCAACTGGACATTGCTAAATTACTCAGTGTATGCAGAGAGTTGTGCTAGGATATGTTAATAAGGAAAATCAGCGCCTATGTTTCAGAAGGTGAACATCTCAGTGAAAATTTAGACACAGTTGAACGAGATACACAATCATTTACAAGGATTCTTGATATAATATAAAATATTATAAAATGTAGGTGCTGGGGACTGGAACACATTAGGAGAAATGAGCATTTTGGCAGGTGGATAAAAGAAGGCTTCTGATACCAGGTGAGTTTTGAGGCAGCTCCACCACAGACCCATTGGGTTGCTGATTGTAAAGGCTTTTGCTCACTTGGTGTTCTGTAATATGGCATTCACAAATTCTAGCTCTAAAAGGAATTCACTTTGAAATTCATCAGATAGATTCAGCTTCCATTAATTTATCCATTCAGTAACATATTTAGTGAGCACCTACTGTGTTCCAGGTACTGGCTAGGTGCCAGAGAGATATTAGGGAGATAGGCAATAGCTAAGTAATATTGAAAAATGCCATGGAGGATGACAGAATAGTGTGCTAATGACTGGTAGGGGTAGGGAGTTCAGAGAGAGTGGTCAGGGAAGGTCTTTTTTGGGTAATTTGTCTTTTGAGCGGAGACCCCTAGGTATGCTAAGAAAGGAGGCAACACAGGTAGAGGGTTCAACATCTGTAAAAGACCTGAGGTAGTAACTAGCTTAGAGAGTTCCAAGGAACAAAGTAAGTTATGTGAGCAGAATAAGGTGAAAGAGGGAAGGAGCAGCAGAAAATAAGCTCCAAGAGGTAGACAGGGGACATATTATGTAGAACTTTGAGATCCATGATAATCAGTTTGGGTTTTACTCCAAGTGTGTTGGAAAGCAGGAAGGTGACATAATCTGATTTTCTTTTCTTATTTTTCTTTTGAGACGGAGTCTTGCTCTGTTGCCGAGACTAGAGTGCAGTGGCATGATCTTGGCTCACTGCAACCTCTGCCTCCTGAGTTAAAGTGATTCTTCTGCCTCAGCCTCCCAAGTAGCTGGGATTATAGGCACCCATTACCGCACATGGCTAATTTTTGTATTTTTAGTAGAGATGAGATTTCACCATGTTGGCCAGGCTGGTCTTGAACTCCTGACCTTGTGATCCACCCACCTCAGCCTCCCAAAGTGGATTACAGGGCTGCGCTACTATGGCCGGCCCTGATTTTCTTTTTTAAAGGTCAGGCTGAATACTTGGTGGGAAATGGAGTACAGAGAAACAAGAATGGTGGAAGGAAGAGGACCTAAGTGAAAGATGATAGGGGCTTGGACTATGATTGTAGTAATGTAGATAAAAGTGTACTGATTTGGGGTATATTTTGGAGACAGAGCCCTTGCTGATGAGTTAGAAGTGTCTGGTAGAAGGGAGAGAAACATCTCATGGAGGACTCTTAGCTTTTCGGCTTGTGGGACTCAGCAAATGGAGGTGGCATTAACAGATTTGAACAAGATTGGGACAATGTGGATCAGGCAGTGTGGGAGGCTAAAATCAAGGGCACTGTTTGGGCAATGTGAATACTGTGTTGACATTACAACATAAAACCTTGGCCCAGTCACATCCTTTAGCCTCAGTTTCTTTTTCTATAAACGGCACTCATAGTACCTCCTATTAGGGCTGTGAGGAATAAATAAGACAGCTTCTCCTATATGGTAAGCACTCAGTAAATGTGAGCTATTACAGTTGCCATGATCATTGTTATTACTGTCATTATTACTGCCAGTTATCCAGAGAGGGCAACCTACTTGCTTTACTTTTCATCTCTGTTTAAAATGTGGGCTTCCCAGACCACATTTTAGAAAGTATGGAGGGCACCTTTGCATTCATTTTTAGAGCAAGTCATATCATTTCTTCAAATTTAAGATGGTAAGAAAAGCAGTGTAGAAGAAAGACAGTTGAGAGAAGTTGCCTAATACGATTGCCCCATTCATTTTTCCTTCTTTGTAGCCCTCTGGGATTTGAACTGTCACGTCTGCCATGAGAATACAGACATCCCATTTTGGAAGTCAATCCCAACACCTACTTCATTGTCTGAGAAAGAGAAAATATCTGATTTGGTCCAATACCCTGGTTACCCTTATAGCACAAGGAACTCTATTTGTGATCTAATCCAGTTTGTCTCTAGGTTTATAGGATGTTTGTTGCGTATTAGCAGACACTTTGGAGAAAAAATCTTCTGCAAACAGAGGGCTTTTGGAGGAAGAATTATTTCACAGCATGACTGTGTAGTACAGTAGAACAGTGATGAACTCACAGTTCAAACTTTGAAATTCTGCTCCTGGATCTACTAGCTGTATTTCTTGAGTCAATTTTTATATCTTTATAATTCTCAGTTTTCAAATCTGTAAAACTCCAGTGCATTTCTCACATTGACATGCAGATTATTCGTAACATTGGACATGAGCATGCCTCCAAAATTAATATATGCTATGCATTTTTACTAATATATATATCAAGTATCTAAATATTTGAATTTTTTTGCAGAGACTTTACACTCCAAGGGAAGTCAGTGACAAATTTGTACTTACACAAGATTCAGATGAGGAACCTTTTGTGGGAGATCTCAGGTGAGCAGTAGTGTTGATACAGGTAACAAACATGTAGAATACAATTTTACTAAACAAAACTAAAACAAGAGAAATGATACCTGCAGATACTCTTTCCCCATCAAAATGAAAATAAAAAGAAAAAAGAAACAAATGGGCCAGGGATGGTGGCTCATGCCTGTAGTCCCAGAACTTTGGGAGGCTGAGGCAGGAGGAACCCTTGAGCCCGGGAGTTTGAGACCAGCTTGAGCAACATAGTGAGACCCATTTCTACAAATAAATAAATAAATAAATAAACAAACAAAATAAAAAATAAATAGCCAAGTGTGGTGGCATGTGCCTGTGGTCCTAGCTACTTGGGAGACTGATGTGGGAGGATCACTTGAGCCGGGGAGATCAAGTCTACAATGAGCAATGATCATGCCACTGCACTCCAGCCTGGGCAACAGAGTGAGACCCTGTCTCTTAATAAATACATGAATAAGTGAAACCAGAATAGCAGTCTACTAGTCTGAACTTCCTTTCTCGGCTAATATAATTCACATGTTTTTCCAACAGAATATAGATACAGATGATTGGCTTTTTATTTTTTTTAAAAGCATTAAAGCAACAAATAGAGAAAACTTATCTGACTCAGACATGTAATGACTTTCAAATTAAGGTAATGCATCTTAATATACTAGTTTATTACTTATTTTTTCTTGAAAATAAAGGTAATGTTTAGACACTTTTAAATGGTAGAAGAGCAAGTATGCATTGTGGTAACTGCTAATTATATAGGCATCCATCTTTTGTGAATCTAATATGTTCTGTAAAATTTGTTTGCTAACACATTTTCAGAGAATAGAAGCCAATATTCCACTATTTTATGTGAGAAAAGTAAAAATATATTCTTAACCACCAGGAAAATGCTGATTAATTTGCCAAATACCACGAAAATCCCTTTATAAACTTATTTAACAGCCCACAAAGGATTTCTGTAAAATGTAAATTATTTATAATAATATATCGTTATGTACCATTTGGTACATAAACTCATTGGTAGGTATGTTTGTATGCAGTAAGCCACAATACCATACACTATTCAGTGTCTGGTGTTAAATATATTAAAGGTGTGCACTGTATGTCAGTAATACTTAGTAAAATAAAATAAGAAAACAAGGGAACTTTGCAAGAGGTTTCTTGGGATCAAAGGCACGCTTGTATGAGTTCTGGTGGTGAGAAGAGTGAGCTGGAAGCTGAGGCCACTGTTATTATTTGGGGGCAGGAGGAGGTAAGGAAGCCAGAGTTGATGAAGGAATGAGTTAAACAGGAAATATCTGAGGCTCATCTGGATTTAGGAGAAGGCAGGGAGAATCTTCCCTTCCCATCAGAAGAGTACAGAGGCGATTGGCTCTCAACCATTGTCTGATGCCACACACAGAACAATGGGATGAGAAATAGAACTCATGGTGTCTAGCTATTTGCATCCCCTTTGCATGATTAAAAACTCTTGCTAACATAAAGCTGCATTTGTGTTAATAATTGTGTGTTGAATGTGACAACGTGACATGTCTGCTCATGCCATAATCACATTTATTTGTACCAGCATGCTGCTTTTGTGGAATCTAATTTTTTTATGAATCTTCAGTATTTTATTTTTGGTTTCTAGGAGTGGGGAGCACATGCATGACCAAGCTTAAGACTTCTAGCCAGTCAACTCTCTGAATGTGCTTTATCACTCCCAGCTTTTCTTATAGTACATGGACTTCAATAGGTCTGTTAGTCTTGCCCATTTCCTTCATTAGTTTCTCTACTTTCTTAGAAGAAATTTGGAGAACAAAATAGCTACAAGACAACATGTTTAAACAACATAAACTCGATACACTATGCCATAAGGAGAATGACTGAGACACAGTAACAGCACACTGGCATGCCCTTGTCTAGGCATGCATGACTTAAACATATTCTTGCATGTGCCCTAAAACAGATTTATTTAGCAGGTTTGGGTAATGAATTTTGTTTAAAAATTAGCATATCAGCATAGCAAATATTCAGATAGTGAGAGTTCAGAGAGCAAAGATACCTGTATTTTTATTTAAAGGTAGAGTTGGATGAAAAATATTCCGATGCAGCAAGGAGCCAGCTACCACATCTGTGGCATGATCTTCATAAGATATATAAGAAAAGTGTTTTCTGAAGGCTTAAAATTATATCTTTTCTAATATTATAAGAAATTAAGACTCAAATGTGGGTGAATGCACACTCTTTCCCCTAAAGTTCAAAAGTAGACAATGAATTTTTTATCATGTAGGAAGTAAGATAGAAGAGTGATGCTTAAGGACAAAAACGGATGCATTTAATGAAGAAAAGTCTGATTAATTCCAGACTGATTGTACGTCTCATATCCCTCCCTCCTCCAACTCCATGGCCACTACTCTGGCCCCAATCTCTTCAGCTCTCATATGATGGGTTGTTGGTGGACCTGGCTGACCCACAAACCTGAGCTCTGTAAGGCAGGACCTGTCACCTTCATCCCTGTCCAGTACAGAGCCTGATAATAAGTAGACAGAAGTGACATCTGCTTATTAACTGATTGATTAATTGAGCTTATCAAAATAGTAATACATTCCAGGCCATGAGATTTCTCAAACATTATGCAGTATTGTTAGAAAGCAGTGCAAACCAGTACCCTATTGTTTTATTTTTTTCATGGATTTGTCCCTTGTCCCCTCGATATTTTAAATTAAAAAGAAGAGATCGCATCATATCACGGTTGTAATTTTTAGTTATTAATAGTCTGGCTCCCATTTTACCCCCTGGGAGATGGTTAGAAAACCAATCATTCACAAAGATCATAGGGACCTACAGCTCCAAAATGTTTTCCTTATCTTGGTAATTCCATTATTTTAAGATTAAGAAGCATCCTGCTAAGAGGCTTGAAAGTTTTGTCTATGCTTATGAAGGAAACACAAAGATGGGAATTTGAAGTGTTTAAAATAAAGGGTGTATTTCCACATAGAATGTCCTGTTTGTGCATGTTTAAGATTTGAGGCTTAAAAATATTTCATTCCAGGAGAGGGACTGAATAGCAGGAGTATTTTTTTACTGAGGCTACATGTGTACTGGAGTGGAAACTCTTGCTTTCCTGGACCATTGAAGGTAGAAAGAAGTAAGGGATTTATGAGTCAGTGAGGGGCAAGCAAAGAATTGAATACTGAGTAGCCCTCTTCTGTCTTGCTACTGCTAGAGTCAAAAGTAAGCAACTAAATTACTCTTCGGATTTTCCCAGTTGTTTGTAGTGGTAAGGCCCAAATTCCTATCATAGCATCATCTTTTAACACAGTGCATTTTGTACTTTATGAAGTTATTTTATGTTTATTAATTCAGTTATTTTCTACATATCTACGAGGTAGATTTTAGACTCATTGTACAGGTGACAAAGTACACTCACAGAGGATGTATAATTCGCCCAAACTCACACAGCTGGTTAGGCAGTAGAGCTGTATTTGGGACCTAAATTACCCTGGGCTCCATTCTGTGAGGACACCAGTTTCAGGAGCTGTGGCCAGTACATGATTCAAGGGAGAAAACTCGAGGAGTCTTTGGGAAGTACATGACCAGGGATGTTACTAAGAGAAAACATGTTCTTTTTAATTTCACCTTAAACTTAGAGGAAGGAGACTATACCAATTAGTTGGCCCTAATACTTTTTACAAAGATGGCACTTTTTCACCCAAGCGTAAAGTAGAGAACACTGGAAAATGAAATGGCAAGTATTTCCCAGGTTCCAGTAGCTCTTACCTGTGCTTGCCAAGTCCTTAGAAACTCTGCTTCAGGACTGGAATTGGTCTCTGAGGAAACTGCATCTGTCAGCAACTCCACCAAAAAGAATGTTCCTGCCTAATTCCTCTTTCAGTGAAGACACACCTTGTACAAAGGTGTGGGGAAAATTTGGCAAAGATGTACAATGGTCCTAATTAGTGAGTTTTTATTGTACTGGGTCTTTATACTGTACTATGCATTATACTATACTGTACTGTACTATACTATACTATACTGTACTGTACTGTACTGTACTATACTATACACTATACTATACTGTATTGACTCCATTCCTTATGTCTGCCCCATCGTGAGCAGGGGAAGAGCCTTGCACATAATTGTAGATGTTGCTAGCATACCTAGTCTTACCACTTTAGTCCCAGTGAAATTTATTTGTTCACACAGAAAATATTGAGCATCTACTATGTGGAAATTTCTGTTCCAAGATTTAAGGATATAGCAGTGAGCAAAAATCTTTATCTACATAGTGATTACATTCTTATGGAGGAGAAAGATAATAAATAAGTCAATAGACTATAGAGTAGGTGAGATGATGAGGGCCAAGGGAAAAAAGGAGCTGTGAAATGAGGATAGGGAATGTTATTGGGGGAAAGTTAAATATTACTAGATTTTGAAATGGCATTTTTACAGGTTAAAAAATAGAGTAATATTGGCAATTCCCTGTGGTTTCCTTGTGGCCAGAAAGGGCCTCAACAAGAAGGTGACTTGAGTTAACATCTGAAAGGAGTGGAGGAGCAAGCCTCATGGATTTTGGAGGAGATATTCAAGACAGAAGGAAGAGCAGATGCCCGGTCCTTGAGGCAGAAGCACATGGCAGAAGCATATGTTTGAGAAAAAGTAAAGGAGCCAGTGTAGGTGGAACAGCCACCAGAGAGGAACATTCAGAACATACAGGGCCTGCGATCAACTGTGCAGGAAGGGCCAGGATCATGTCAGCTCGACCCTGCCTTGTGGAATAGTTCCTTTTAGTCATTCACCATTATTTCTCTTGTTTGTCAATGTCGTGTGGAGACCTAGTCAACACTACTTGCTCTCCCTTTGCAAGTTACTTTACTATTTCTACTGATTCTACTCCACTAATTCTACCTGTCATCTTTGGCAAATACTTTGGAGGTCTTCTGGTATAGTTTTAAAACAACATAAAATTAGGATTTTTAAAAACTAGAATGGTCGAGTTTTGTGTCTTAGCTTTGCCA